CATCGGCAGGCGGACTCTCAACCACTGCGCCACCAGGGAAGCCCTTTTGGTTTTTGTTGTTGTTTTTTCTCTTCTTGGCCTTTTTGTATCTTGGTGCTTGTTTGCCCCAACTGCGCATGTGCATAGTTATTTCTAGTCCCTTACATATAGTTTCTGGGTGTTCTGTTGCTGGAGGAGACATTTGCCCAGGTGCAGGGGCTACAGCAAAAGGTCCCAGGTCCCAGACTGTCTTATCGGCACCACCTCAAGTGCATAACGCAGAATCCCGGGGTCGTGGGGGTGGAAGGAACCCTGGTGGGCTTCTCTGACCGCTGTCTGGTGGCTACTTAGATGTCCCAGCCACCAACTTTGAATTACTCGGGCCGGGGCCGGGTCATACCAGCGTTCTCTGTGTGCCTCGTTCTTTAATCCACCCCTTGGGAGGGGACCAGTGTGATGCCACGGAGGCTTGCAGCCTTGATCAAGAGCACCCACCCTCCCGGGAATCCTGCTGGGCTAAGGCCGGGTGGTGGCCCCCAGCCTCTCTGCCGCTTTGCAGAGCTGCCCAAAGACAGGGCCGGAGCAAGTGTGCTTCTGGTTGACAGTGTCAGGGGTCCCTGGGAGAGGAGACCGAGGGCTCTGGAGGAAGACTTGGCCGAGGAAAGGGGGTGGGGGCAGGGCTGGGCTGGGTAGCGATTCCAACCTTCCTTTCTCTGTCTGGGTCCTCATCTAGTGCACGCACTCAGAGCCCCAGTTTCTGAGGCAGGACCTAGAACTGCTGACCCTCAGGCCTTTGCCTGGTTTTCCAACCAGAATCTGCCCAGCCAGCCTAGCAGCACCCTCCCAGCCAGCTGTCCCTGTCTGCCCCAGACCCTGGGGCCTGGCTCTGCATTCAACAGCCCTCCTCACGTCCCAGCTCTGTCCGGGTCTCCTCTGCAGTGGCCTCGCCTACCCCGAGCTCTTGCTGCCGTCCCCCCTCCGCCCTGGGGTCACCTGGTCCTTTCTCTTTGCAGCTGTGCCACGATCGTGGCTACCTGGTGACCCAGGACGAGCTGGACCAGACGCTGGAGGAGTTCAAGGCCCAGTTTGGGGACAAGCCCAGTGAAGGGAGGCCTCGGCGCACAGACCTCACGGTGCTGGTGGCCCACAACGATGACCCCACTGACCAGATGTTCGTCTTCTTCCCAGGTGAGGGGCAGCTCAGGGCCAGTTCTTAGCAGCCACCTGCCTTGTGACCCAGAGTCTGCCTGCTCTCATCCTTCTGCCCCCTCGCCCTCCTTGCTGTGGGGACTCCTTTTCCAGCTTCCTCTTCTCGGTCACCTTCCCCATTCTCTCTTCCTCAACCCTTTTCTCTCACCAGGGTTATCACCCAGCTGGGCCCCTGGGTCCTCCCTGCCTTCACCTGTCAGCCCAGCTTCTGCTCCCAGCGCTTGCCCTTCCTGCGCTGCTGCAGGACTCCTGCCCTGTCTCGTCCCTGCCGGTTCCCCCCTCGCCTGCCTGGTCAGTGTCCATCCATCGTCCCTGGTGACTGAGCTCAAGTGCCTCCTCTTTGGGAACCCCCCTCTGAGCCCTGGGTTGAGTGAAGACAACCCCCCCAGCACCAAGGGTGTCCCAGGACCCCTGTGTTCCTCTGTCTTTGCACGTCCTACACTGAGGCAGCCTGGCTCTAAAGTCCCAAAGTTTAGGGGGCCTTGTTGGGTCATGAGCACCTTGGGGGCCTACCCCAGTGCCTTGAATCAAAGGAGTGGGCAGAAAATGCTTATTCAACAGACCCAGGTGGCACTTTTTAAAAAAATTTATTTTATTGAGGTGCAGTTGATTTATAACGTTGTGTTAATTTCTGCCGTACAGCAAAGTGACTCAGTTATAAAAATATATACATACATATATATATGTTCTTTTTCATATTCTTTTTTACTATGGTTTAATCCCAGGATACTGAATATCGTTCCCTATGCTGTATAGTAAGACCTTGTTTATCCATCTTACATATAATAGTTTGTATTTGCTAACCCCAAACTCCCAATCCATCCCTCCCCCAGCCCCCTCCCCCTTGGCATCCACACATCTGTTCTCTATGTCTGGGCGTCTCTTTCTGTTTTGTAAATAAGCTCATTTGTATCATCTTTTTAGATTCCACATATAAGTGATATATGATATTTGTCTTTCTGACTTACTTGGCATAGTTTGGTAATCTCTAGGTCCATCCATGTTGCTGCAAATGGCAGTATTTCATTCTTTTTTATGGCTGAGTAGTATTCCATTGTATATATGTACCACATTTTCTTTATCCATTCATATGGACATTTAGGTTGTTTGCATGTCTCGGCAATGGTGAATGGTGCTGCTGTGAACACTGGGGTGCATGTATCTTTTTGAATTATAGTTTTGTCTGGATATATGCCCAGGAGTGGGCTTGTTGGGTCAAATGGCAACACTGTTTTTAGTTGTTTTTGTTTGTTAGTTTGTTTTTAAGATTTGTTTGTTTGTTTATTTATGGCTGCGTTGGGTCTTAGTTGCAGCATGTGGGATCTTCATTGAGGCATGCGGGATCTTCCGTTGCAGTGCACAGGCTCTTCAGTGTGGCGCGCGGGCTTCTCTCTAGTTGTGGCATGCGGGTTTTTTTCCTGTAGTTGTGACACGCAGGGTCCAGGGCACGTGGGCTCTGTAGTTGTGGCGTGAAGGCTACAGAGCGCGTGGGCTCTGTGGTTTGCAGCACGCAGGCTCTCTAGCTAAGGTGCATGAGGCCTCTATTGTGGCGCACGAGCTTAGTTGCCCCACGGCATGTGGGATCTTGGTCCCCTGACCCGGGATCAAACCCATGTCCTCTGCATTGGAAGGTAGATTCTTAACCACTGGACCACCAGGGAAGTTCCCTCATGTTTTGCATTTAAATCTTTGAGCCATTTTGAGTTTATTTTTGTATATCATGTGAGGGAGTGTCTAACTTCATGGATTTACATGTGGCTGTCCAGCTTTCCCAACACCACTTGCTGAAGAGACTTTTCCCCACTGTACATTCTTGCTTCCTTTGTTGAAGATTAATTGACCATAGCTGTGTGGGTTTATTCCTGGGTTCTCTATTCTGTTCTATTGATCCATGTCTGTTTTATGTGTCAGTACTATGCTGTTTTGAAAACTGTAGCTTTGTAGTAGTATTATAAGTCTGGGTGAGTTATGCCTCCTGCTTTTTTCTTTTTCCTGAGGATTGCTTTGGCAATTCTGGGTCTTCTATGGTTCCATGTAAATTTTAAGAGTATTTGTTCTAGTTCTGTGAAAAATGTCGTGGGTAATTTGTGCTGGGTCTTAGCTGCAGATCCATGAATTGCTTTTTTATGATTCATATGGACATTTAGGTTGTTTGCATGTCTCGGCAATGGTGAATGGTGCTGCTGTGAACACTGGGGTGCATGTATCTTTTTGAATTATAGTTTTGTCTGGATATATGCCCAGGAGTGGGCTTGTTGGGTCAAATGGCAACACTGTTTTTAGTTGTTTTTGTTTGTTAGTTTGTTTTTAAGATTTGTTTGTTTGTTTATTTATGGCTGCGTTGGGTCTTAGTTGCAGCATGTGGGATCTTCATTGAGGCATGCGGGATCTTCCGTTGCAGTGCACAGGCTCTTCAGTGTGGCGCGCGGGCTTCTCTCTAGTTGTGGCATGCGGGTTTTTTTCCTGTAGTTGTGACACGCAGGGTCCAGGGCACGTGGGCTCTGTAGTTGTGGCGTGAAGGCTACAGAGCGCGTGGGCTCTGTGGTTTGCAGCACGCAGGCTCTCTAGCTAAGGTGCATGAGGCCTCTATTGTGGCGCACGAGCTTAGTTGCCCCACGGCATGTGGGATCTTGGTCCCCTGACCCGGGATCAAACCCATGTCCTCTGCATTGGAAGGTAGATTCTTAACCACTGGACCACCAGGGAAGTTCCCTCATGTTTTGCATTTAAATCTTTGAGCCATTTTGAGTTTATTTTTGTATATCATGTGAGGGAGTGTCTAACTTCATGGATTTACATGTGGCTGTCCAGCTTTCCCAACACCACTTGCTGAAGAGACTTTTCCCCACTGTACATTCTTGCTTCCTTTGTTGAAGATTAATTGACCATAGCTGTGTGGGTTTATTCCTGGGTTCTCTATTCTGTTCTATTGATCCATGTCTGTTTTATGTGTCAGTACTATGCTGTTTTGAAAACTGTAGCTTTGTAGTAGTATTATAAGTCTGGGTGAGTTATGCCTCCTGCTTTTTTCTTTTTCCTGAGGATTGCTTTGGCAATTCTGGGTCTTCTATGGTTCCATGTAAATTTTAAGAGTATTTGTTCTAGTTCTGTGAAAAATGTCGTGGGTAATTTGTGCTGGGTCTTAGCTGCAGATCCATGAATTGCTTTTTTATGTTGAGATATATTCCCTCTATACCCACTTTCATAAGAATTTTTATCATGAATGGATGTTGAATTTTATCAAATGCTTTTTCTGCATCTGTTGAGACAGTCGTGTGGTTTTTGTCTTTCCTTTCGTTGATGTGGTGTATCACATTGATTTGCATATGTTGAAGCATCCTTGTGACCCTGGGATGAATCTATGGCACTTTTTTTTTTTTTTGGTGGCACTTTTAGGAAGAGTGTCCCCTGTGTGTGAAACGTATTTATTGTAGACCTTGGTGCCTCCCGTGGTGCCATCTCGGGGGTGGGGCCACCTCACTTCCTGGTCTTTACTGACAGTGGGGGTGTCCTGCTGTCTCAGATGGGCCGTGGCACAGGGTTGAGGTCCCTGCCTGTGTTAGTTTGCACGGCTGCTGTAACAAAACCCCACAAACCAGGGGCATAAACAGACAGTGCTTCTCTCCCAGTGCTGGGGACCTCTCACTGGTGTGTAGACCTCCGTCTTCTCCCTGTGTCCTCACATGCTCGTCCCTTCCTGTGTGTCTGTGTCCTGATCTCTTAAGGACCCCAGCCTCATGACCTTGTGTTACCGTAATTACTTTTTTAAAGACCCCATTTCCAAACACAGTCTCATTCTGAGGTTCCTGGGGGTCAGGACTCCAACAGAGGGACTTCGGGGACAGGGCAGTGCGGGTCGGTGGAGTGGGGTGTGAGGAGAACAGCGAGAGGCAGCGGACGTGCTGCACACGGACTCCGGGGCTGCCCCAGCCGCCAACCTGCTGGGCTACTAGGGTCCAGCCGTTCTCTCGTGTCAGGCCCTAGGCCCCGCGTGCTGCCGAGGCCGTGAGGACCCCCGGTGCTGGCAGCGAGGAGCTGCGTGGGCTGTCTCCGTGCTGGGACCGTGCTCCCCGGGTCGTCTCACCTCCACTCAACTCTGAACACCCCAGCCCTTGTCTCGTGGGCCCCTGGACTAAACAAACTGCTTAGTCTGGGACTTCCCAAACCTCAGAACCGCTGAGGCACTGCGCAGACCCAGACTCCCAGACCCCACTTCCAGAAAGAGGTCCCTTAGGTCCGGGGCCCAGGGCACCTTTCAGCTCCCATGTGACATGCAGGCAGCCAGCGCCCTGTTCTGGGACTGGCAGCCGGGTTCTCACTCTGCAAACGGGCGGCCGAGGCCCCAGTGGGGGAGTGGCACTGCAGCGCCTTGGCAGGGGTGGGCTAGAACCCAGGTGCCGGGGGGCGGGGGGTGGCCAGTGTCCACCAGCCTGTGCTTGGTCTGCAGAGGAGCCCAAGGTGGGCATCAAGACCATCAAGGTGTACTGCCAGCGGATGCAAGAGGAGAACATCACGCGGGCCCTCATCGTGGTACAGCAGGGCATGACGCCCTCCGCCAAGCAGGTGGGTGCCCGCCGCCTCCGGCCCCCGGCTGTGGGGTTGGACTGGCCTGAGTGGAGGCTGGTGGTTGGGATGGGCAGCTGGCGAGCACCTTTGTCCCCGTGTGAACAAGGGGACACAGGCTGTGGGGTCCAGGGAGGGGTTGCCGCACCAGCTCCCAGAAACCGTGGGAGCATTTTGACAGACGGGCCCTCACCCTTCTTGCAATGAGACCGAGGCCTCGGTAATGTGCTGAATGCCTGGGAGGGGCGGGGTGGGCTTCTCCCCAAGTGGAAACCCTACCCACTGAGGTGGGTTTTCCTGATGTATGACGCAGGACCCGCGCAGCTTCCCGGGTGCCAGCTGCCTGCAAGGAAGGTCGTGGTGGGTGGGCCCGGGGCCAGTGCAGGGGGCAGGTGGCCGCCTCAGCTGTGCCTGAGGGTCGGTGTCTCTTCCAGTCCCTGGTCGACATGGCCCCCAAGTACATCCTGGAGCAGTTTCTGCAGCAGGAGCTACTCATCAACATCACGGAGCATGAGGTAGGGGTAGGGGATGAGACTGGAGACCCGCCTCCTGCCCCCCAGGCCCCTCACCTGTTCAGGGTTGGCGGACATCCAGGTCTTGGGGAGGCGAGTCTGGGAGCCCCTTCATTGTGGAAAGAAGGTGGGCCGGGGTCTCGGTGTGTGGCCCTTGGGCCAGGAGCAGCTGGGGCCTTGCTAGGAGGGCAGGTTCCCAGGCCCACCCAGCCTGCAGAGTCAGGAGCTTGGGGTGGGTGGAATCTGCATGTCCCCAGGAGCCTCGGAGCTCCAGGATTGTGCCCTGCGGCCCATCTGCACAGCTAGGGGTGTAGGCTCCAGGACCCCCGTCCCAGTGTGGAGTCAGGACTTGTGCAGATGCCTGGGGCCCATGCTGCACCCCTCATCTGGAGGGCCTGTGGCGTCTGTCGCAGCCCTGTGGAGACCCAGGTTCTCTTCTCACAGCTGGTCCCAGAGCACGTTGTCATGACCAAGGAGGAGGTGACGGAGTTGCTGGCCCGGTAGTATCCTTTCTGGCCCCCGGCTGGGCCTGGCTCCTCTCCCCTATAGCTCTCCCCACAACGCCCCCAGTCAGTCCAGCGAGGCCTTTTCCCTTACCTGCTTCTCAGTAAACTCCGAGAGAACCAGCTGCCCAGGATCCAGGCGGGAGACCCCGTGGCACGTTACTTTGGGATAAAGCGAGGGCAGGTGAGAAGCCCCTCCCAGGGAGGAGCTGGGCCCACCTCCAGCCCCCTTCAGAGCCCAGGCTTCTGAGCAGGGCAGGAGGGACCTCGGGTCCCGGGAGCCAGCCCACCTGCTCTCCTGCCTCTGCAGGTGGTGAAGATCATCCGGCCCAGTGAGACTGCAGGCAGGTACATCACCTACCGGCTGGTACAGTAGCGGCCCGACAGACAGATGAGGCGAGAGGGCGCCGAGGGCCGGGTGTGGGCGGCCGTCCCAACCCTGTGAGTGAGCCCCGCCTGTTACGTGCTCTGGAGGGAGCTCACATCTGGCCTGTGCGCCCAGCTCATGCGACAGACGGGTCACACTGCTGGCCGCCCCCTCTCTCTCGGCAAGTCCCCCGGGGGATGGAAAGATGGGCTGTGACGACCCACCAGGCTGGGAGTGTGGTGGCCAGCTGCCCGGGGGAGTCCGCTCCTGGGAACCTTGCCTCTGCTCCCCTGGGCCGCAGGGTGGCCCGCCTTGGGCCTGCCTTTCCTGGCCTGTGGGTCCCCGTGGCCTCTCCTGGGCTCCTGGACGCTGAGCCCCACCCTGGATCCCACCTGACGGTGCTTTGGGAGGGGACAGGATACCGCAGGTGGCCCCGAGCTCCTCCCGGGCTTCTGTCGCCGTGTCCCCCCCACAGTGACCCTGATGCTGCTTGTCTGGGTGCTCCGAGGGCAGCGGGGAGTGAGACCGATTGCTACGGAATGCTGGGTATCTTAACGAATTAAAAATATCTTGAGTAAATCAGTTCACTTGTCTGAAAGACCGAGGCGGAATGTCTTCCCGGTTTGCTGTGAGCAGCCTTGCTCGGGCTTCTGTCCCCTCAGCGGGGTCTCGGCCCACTTCCCCTGGTGGAGGGAGGGGCTCCAGTGCCGCCTTCAGCTTTGCTTCTTGGTGCTTTTCTTGCATAGAAGTTTGGGATCAAACTACCCCCTTTTCCCTCTACTAACTTCAGAGGCCTCCTACCCAGGCTAAGCGCAGTTGTCTGTGTTTTTGTTTAATAGCTTCATTGAAGTAGGATTTATATACCATACAGTTCAACCATTTAAAGTGTATGGTTCCATGATTCTTAGTATATGCACAATCGGGCACCCATCACCACAGTCAGTTTTGGAACTTCCACCCTCCTAAAAAGAAAGCCTGTCCCTGTCAGCAGTCAGCACCCCCCCCCG